AAATAGTCTATATATGCAAGCTATTGATTAGGTGTGTTAATTTTAAAACTCAATACTAATTTTTTAATTGTTTGTAGTATTTTTTCTTTTGTTTTTGGGTTTTCAAGTTATAGATATCATCTATAATAGCACTGTCAAATAGAAGTTTCTGTAATGATGGAAATGTTCAATATCTACACTGTCCAATACGGCAGCCACTACCCACCTACGGCTATTCAGCACTTGCACTGTGGCTAGTGTTACTGAGGAACTGAATTCTAAATTTCCTTTACTTTTAATTAATTTAAATTTAAATAACTACATGTGGCTATTGGCTACCATATTAGACAGCACAGATCTATATAGTTTTACTTCTTGCTTTTCAATCCACGTGCTTTGATTGCTAACTCTTATCTAGCTGCATTGGCTAATCCTTCCAACACAATATTACATAGGAGTGGAGATTGCAAGCATCATTATACTGTTTCTGAATTTTGCGGGAAAGCCTCTAGTGATTCTCCATTAAGTAAAATAAATGCTGATATAGTGTGTGTATGTGCGTGTGTGCATGCACATACTTCATGTTAAGGAAGTAGGCAATAGTGAAAATAGCTAGCAATATAATCTCTTCATCCACCTCTTCTTGTTCTCCCTCGGTTGTCCAAAATCTGATTTTAAGTTTATTTAGTCCCAACTGAGACCACTGAGAAGATCAGGAAGCTTATTCTACTTTTTACATAAAGTCCAAATTCTTCACCATTTAAAATAATTGTACTGTATCTACAGTATATTTTCTCCCTTATAATTGTTATTGATTCTTCATACCACAAATTAAGTATATACTTAATGCTCACCACCAGTCTTTATGTCAATGCCTTTCCAGTCTTATGTCTTGTCTGGAACTCACTGTAGTTCATTCCTCAGAAAGAGATCTATCTACCTATCATCTATCTATCTATCTATCTATCTATCTACCTACCTACCTACCTACCTACCTACCTACCTACCTACTTGTCTGTCTATTTTCAGGTTCACTGATTATTTCCTCTGTCACCTCCATTCTTCTATTGAGGTCATTCAACAAATTTTATATTTAAACATATTATTTTATAGTATATTAATATATTTTATCTTATATTTTTGTTTAAAAATCTATTTGTTCCTCTTTTACCTTTCTATGAATTTTCTATATTTTGATTCCCTATGAGCATGTTCCCTTTTGCCTCACTCAGTATAGTTACAATAGCTGCTTTTAAAACCTGGTCTGATAATTCTAACATTTTGGTCGCCTTGAGATTGGCATCAGTTGGTCGTCTTCTCCCTCCAAAATGGATCGTATCTTTTCTGGCTCTTTGTACATACAGTAATTTTGCATTATATGCTGGACATTGTGGATTGTGTTATTTTCCTCCAGAGTGTTGATATTTACGTTTTAGTAGGCAATTAACTGAGTTCAACGCAAACTGCAGTCTGTCAACACCTGTGTTGGGCGTTGCCTCAGTTCTCAGTTCAGACTGACATCAGTTTGTTCTGTGCATGCTTGGTCCCAGGGTGAGCCAGAGACTTGGCAGGTTTTCACACATTCTTTGGGGTCCTCCATCTCTCATTCTTTCCTTTCTGGGATTCCCTGCTCACTCTCTGGAAGCTCTGATTGCCTCAGCCCCTTCCCTGCTTCCCCTGAGCAGAAAGAAAGGGAGCATTCTATCAGAGTTTCAGCCCTCCTGCACTTCCAGTGGGACTGCTGATGCTCTCAGGGTAAAGCTACAAAACAAACAAACAAACAAAAAATGGGAGCACAGGGGGCTTATACTGAGCCAAACACTTCCTCCAACTATTGACTCTCTTCCAAAATCTGCCTGCTTTTGCTCGTTGCTGTTTTTGTATTTGCTCAGAGTTTATCTGAAGGAAGGCCAGGTGGGCTGTAACTCCATGTCCAAAGCCAAACTTCCCTGGAAGGGATGTTTGGTGTGTAGTTTTATGAGTTTATGTAGGTTGGATTCCTCCAGTATTGTTTGACATTATTAGACCTTATCCTATCACAGCCTCTTGTACACACTCATGAATTGAATCCAGCAGAATCCTCTCTAGTTTTGGCTGCTGTTCTCAGTGAGTACGTGTTCCTGCTTTGGGGGTCCTCTTGTTACCAGGATCATCAGATGCCACACTGCTTCCCTCTCTTCATCCAACACAGACAGTGATTCCATATGGACCATGTAGGTTTGGGTGATGTAACACCTAAAGTAGGGCTGCTACAAAAATGACCACAAACTGAGTGGCTTAAAACAACAGAAACTTATCCTCTCACAGTTCTGGAGGCCAGAAGTCTGAAGTCCAAGTGTTGGCAGGGCCACAGTCTCTCTGGAGACTTCCTTGCTTCTTCCTTAAACTTCTGATGATTGCTGGCAATCCTGACATTCCTTGCCTTGTAGATGCATCACCCCAATCTCTGCCTCTTGTCACATGGCCTTCTCCCTGTGTGTCTTCTGTGTGCACAAATTTCCCTTGCTTTATAAGGACTCCAGTCATTAGATTAAGGGCTACATTAATCCAATATGACCTAGTCTTAACTTTATGGCATCTGCAAAGACATTTCCAAATAAGGTCAAATTCACAGAGGTTAGGACTTGAATGTATCTTTTTGGGAACACAATTCAACCTACAACAGGTGATTTGCCCTCAATGGATCATACTGGGAGTACTGGGGGATAATCTGTAATCTAATTTTTTTTTAAAGGTCATCCATGGATCTTTGGTCTGATTTTCTAGTTTTTTATGGCTCAGGAAATTTCGAGAGATTCCTAAAAGGTGAAAACATCAGATTCTGAAGTAATAGAGTGAGTTGCATAGGTTTTGTAATGGGAGACGGCGTGCTGTTGCAAGGGGGCAAAGAAAAAAGAACAGGATGGAGGGACTAAAAAGAATTTGCCTTTAGTGTAAGTATCACCCAACACATGAATTACAGTCCTACCTAAAACAGGCTGGGAAATGCCTATTTTAAAATTAATGAAAGATTGAGGTGAAAACATTTAAAATATATACCTTGGGATCCAAATTTCTAACTATGATATTTATTTATACATAGTGAAAATATTTATAAATGTATACAATTAAGTGACTTGTGTAACATCACGTAAATAGTAAAACAGAATCCAACCCACCATGTTCTTCTATGCATTAAATAGTAAATAAGTTTTACTTATTTTACATTGTTTTCTTTTAAAAATGGGAACCCACTAAAATAATAATACTGAAAATTTTTAAAAAGGGGAAAAATCATCCCAGCTCTCCTACTATCCTAAGACCAAATATATTTTGTTTTTTGCATATCATCTTCCAGTCTTTCTCCATTTGCACCTGTATTTTTACATATTTGCAAGAAATCAAGGTTAACTTTTAAATAAAAAATAAATAAGCAATAGAAATTGTGTATAATTAAGGAATTCAGTTACAAGAAATTTAATTGCTTTGCATTTTCACTTAAAATGAAATCCATAATACCCAGGGCAATTTTCAAGGTCTTGTCAGCTGCTTGGAATCTTCCTTCAGGAATTGCTGATACTGGTCTTACAACTGCTCTGTTTTCACAAAGGTACATTATATGATTACCTACCAAGCCTGCAGTACACCTGCCCAAGCTAACAATCAGGCCTCAAACATTATTATCAGCCATTTCACTAATCTCAATGAATTTAAGGTTTAACAATTACAAATTGAATAAATAATTTCTATGACTAACCGTGATTCATGATACATAGATTACCATCAAAATCTGTATAAATTGGTTGCAAAACATTATTCTCAATTCAGACACGAATGCCCCGAAATGACATCATCCAGAGATACAGCACGGAAGCAGACGTGCAAAGTAGTGAAGACTGAGCTTTGATTTTGGGATCAGCTGGGCTTGGATCTTGAGTGCTCTTCTCGTTGGCTGGTGAAGGTACTTAAACCTTCCTAAACTTTCGCTTCATTATCCTTAAGTGGAGAAAATACAACTTAATTCACAGGTTCTTGAGAATGTCATAAGATCAAAACAATGCCTGACACTTAGACCCTCAGTTACTGACTTAATCAACTGAATATTGAATTATTCAATTGTTGAATAAATATTCTAAGAGTAACAGGTTCTACAGAGATACTATTCTATAAAGTGTGCTGCTGGGCTGGCCCCGTGGCTTAGCGGTTAAGTGCGCGCGCTCCGCTGCTGGCGGCCCGGTTTCAGATCCCGGGCACGCACCGACGCACCACTTCTCTGGCCATGCTGAGGCGGCGTCCCACGTACAGCAACTAGAAGCATGTGCAACTATGACATACAACTATCTACTGGGGCTTTGGGGGAAAAAAATAAGTAATTAAAAAATAAATAAATAAAGCGTGCTGCTGACCCCACTTGTCTGACTCGGGTCACTGGAATCTTGGTGGTAACCACCACTCTGATCTACTTGATTGTGGTATTTACCTTTAATAATATCGAATGGGCACTTTCAGCCCACAACTTTATCATGATCATAGGAATTAGTAGTTATAAATCATAAAACTCAAAATATGAAATTTAAATTTAAATACAATTAATAAGTAGTCATAAGCACAGTACGGTCCAGAACTTAACTCCAGTCCTTCCCAGATGAAATGTCAGGCAGATGAGTAAATGTTTTGATCTGGTACCAACCTTCCTCTTCTTTTATTGTACAGGCTCTCATTGTTCTGTCTCCTTGTTTACATTGATCTATGAGAGGTTTGGCACTTCCTTGCACTAGGGATGTGGATTTCAGACTACAATTACTCAAAGCTCATACACAGTCTTGATTGATGGTATTTATTTTTTTTGCACTGTTTTTCGAACCTTCTTAACAAGTTCCTTCTCTTTAGAAATAAATGCATACTCTTCCAAGCTGTCTGATGCAGCTGCCTCTGGTCTTTTGTGTGATAATTTACCCAGAAGGAAGGTGACATCAAGGAAGGCTTGACAGAGGCTATTCCATTTCACCCAAATCTTGAAACATGTCAAGTAGACCACGTATTGGGGGAGGGCATTCCAGGAGCCAGGAAAAGCCTGAAAGTGTCAAGGACACATCTGGTTTCATCAGTCTAGTTAGCAGGAAAGGCTATTTGGAGGAGACTGGCAATAGATAAGTCTGGACAGGGAGCCAGATTACGGTCAGCCTTACATACCATGCTATAGAGTAAGGATTCCACACTGCAGATATAGGCGTACAAGATGAGGAGCCACTGGCACATGCAGTAGCTTTACATTGCCATTCACACTGTATTTGCATTGCAGCAGCTGTGCAGTAATGGATTGGGATGAAGTGGCAAAAAAGAGCATCTGAAAGATTATCCCTTCACTACCTCCATTTCCTCCTCAACATACTGCACTCCCTTGCGCTCCACCAATCCCTTCTATTCCTCTATACCATATCCATGCAGTCTTCTCTTTATTGCAGGCATCTCACACTTCTGTGCTTATTTATTTACATGCGTGTGTCCTCTACTAGACTTTAAGCTTCTTGAGGGCAGGGATAGTATTGCACTCACTTTTGCATCCTCAGTATTTAGCCTGATGCCTAGAAGAAACTAAGTATTCAATAAATTCATTATTGCATTCATTCAATATTTTATTTAGTGCCTACTATGTGCTTCCTAGGAAAACTGCTACAGGCACTGAGTATAGGACAGTGAACAAAACAGAGAAAAACCCCTGCCCTCATGGAGTCTGCATGCTAATTCTGAGAGACACACAGTAAATCAGGAGGTAAGTAAATAAATAAGTGGGTAAAATATTAGTATGTCATATAGTGATAAGGGCTACGGTAAAAAATAAATCAGGGGCGATGAATCGAGGGTGTGATTTTCAATAAGGTGGTCAGAGAAGGCTTCACTGTGAAGCTGAGATTAGAACATAGACTTGGGGGGCCGGCCCCGTGGCTTGGCGGTTAAGTGCGCGAGCTCCGCTGCTGGCGGCCTGGGTTCGGATCCAGAGTGCGCACCGACGCACCGCTTCTCCTGCCATGCTGAGGCCACGTCCCACATACAGCAGCTAGAAGGATGTGCAGCTATGACACACAACTATCTACTGGGGCTTTGGGGGAAAAAAAAAAAAATAAAATTATAAAAAAAAAAAAAGAACATAGACTTGGAAAATGAGGGAGCAAGCTACGTGGATATTTGGAGTGGGGGGAAGGGTGAAGGTTGTAGGTAGAAGGAATTGACAAAGGAAAGCCCTGAAACAGGATGTGCCAGGTGTTCAAGGAATAGCAGAGGCCAGTGTAGCTGGAACAGTGAGCCCCAAGGGATAAGGTCAGAGACGCTAACTGGAGCCAGGAGGAGGGCGGTGGTTAGGCAGATCTTGTAAGGCTACTTTTAGGCCATTGTAATGACTTTGGCTTTTACTCTGAGTAGAATGGAAAGCCACTGAAGGATTTTGAGCAGAGGAGTGGCATGATCCGACTTGCTAATTAAACATGATAGCTTTGGCAGCTGTGTTGAGAACAGCCTGAAGAGGGGCACATGTTCTTCTGGGTGAGAGATGGGGTGGCTTGGACCAATCTGGTTTCAGTGGACATGGAGAGAAGTGCTGTAGACTGCATTTGGTTTGAAGGTGGTTTTATTCAACTGGCTTTACTAATGGTTGATGACGGGTATGAGAGAATGAGAGGAGTTAAGAACGTCTCCAAAGTTTTGGCATGAGCAATTGGAAACATGGAGTTGCTATTTACTGAGATATGTTGGGTGACCATTTAATTCCCTGTCCAAATTATGATCCTTCTGAAAGTGAAAGGGGATGCTATACACTTGGGAAAATATGTAAACTGGGACTGTCTTGGAAAATCTGTTCACCCTCGGGCAATGGTTCTCAATCAGGGGTTATTTTGCCCCCAAGGGGACATTTGGCAGTGTCTGAAGACATTTTTGGTTGTCACGACAAGGGGCTGCTACTAGCAGTGGGTAGAGGCCAGGGATGCAAAGGACAGCACCCCACAACAAAGGATTATCTGGCCCAAAACGTCAATAGTGCCGAGGTTGAGAAACCCTGCCCAGAGATAGAGAACAGAATGAGAAGTCCAGATTTGCTGACATGAAGTGAGATGAAGATCAATGTAATCTACGAGATAAATTATGAGGATGCTTATTTCTTCATTTGTTTATCATTTCTACCCAGGCTACTTCTAAAAAATATATAAGGCCATTGACCAAAAAAAGGCTTATACCCTTGAACACAGCAGAGTATTAAGAAATTATACAGTCGAAAGAATCTACAGAATGAATTAACCTTAATAGTATGACCACGATTTTACTGGGACCCTCATCCACTCCTCAGCTATCCTTTCCTTTACCAGAGGCTCAGTTCAGCTACATCACTGGTGCTGATGGCTTCTTGGATTTCCAAAGTATATACATATAAGAAAAATGATGATCACCACCCATCTAAATACGGTTATCTGAAATTGATTTTATAAGCAAAGTTCTTCCTTTTCACAACAGATAGGTAAACCTCCCAAGAAGAACAAGATTATCAAGTGAGGTGCCTGAAGTCATTCTTATCGCTACTCCACCTTCCCTCCAAAGCAGAAAAAAAATAAATACATGAATACACCATTGCAATGAGTGACAGAACTCAAGAGGCTGACTGCCAGGTCTCTGTAGCTATCCTTTTTCCTCTTCATCTGTTTGGACCATCTGTGAAGTTATAACTAAAACTTCATACTAGCTGACCTAAAAGCATTCTTTTAGTCCCAGTTTAGGTTTTTGCATTTTTATTCTCCTCTTCTTTTTTTCGCCAAATTTAGTCACTGAATGAGGTGACTCCAGTAGCTGGATATATCTGAATGAGCCTGCTGGGTTCTTAGCAGCTGGAATCTAAGAGTAGCATCCCAACTACTAAGCTAATAAAGCAAATTACAACTTTCAAACTAGTCCTAATTTTCTGCATTCAGGTCTAACAGGCAAGGATTTATAAACTCAAACCCTTTCCTGTCTGGATTTTCCTCTGTGATCTTATACTGGGGTCCCAAACTTTAGCAAAAAGGGTAAAAGTGCCTTTTTGGTAGAAATTATATCAAGGCGTAGTTTCGCACGATCCCCTTCCTCCTCGTGGTTTATACGCAGGCACACAAGAGCATTTACAGCTATTACATAACATGAAACTGGGCAAGGGCAGAGTGTGTACACATTCAGAACTCTGCCCTCTGTGTGGAATGTGATAGAAACAAGTTTAAGCAGGACTGTGCCCCCAGAGATGGGGGAACTTAGGGAGAGTGCATGGGGAGAGTAATCAACCCGTCTCTGTGTTCTGTTCATTCAGGGGAGATTTCACGAGAGGGAAGAAGGCTGGAAAGTATCTGTGCTTCTTGCAACCCAGGGATTTCCACATTTGGTTATTTGTCAGGTAGCTATGAACATTTTAAACACACTGTTTCTACATGTGTGGTGAGGGAAATAGTTCACCCGGAAGGCACCACTGGTAAATTGAAGAACAAACAAACCCATGTAAACATTCAAGGAAAAAACAGACAAGCAAAGACATAAGGCTCCTTTTAAACTTTGGAATCTCTGACATGGCTATTGTGTGCCTGAACGCACGCCCCAGTCAGGGGTAGGATGGCACGAGGGGGTCCAAATACCATGCGTTTCTACTCTCAGCCCTACACAACTCCCCAAAGTAAAACAAAACAAGCAAAATGGCCATGGAGTGCCAAAAGGATTAATATATTGTCCTTACTCGACCTTTTCTTCACTTCCATTTGAAGACAACAGGTGGTTCATTTCAGTCACACGGAGATTCATGTCCCGATCCTGAAACCTAGACTAAGGATCATAACCAGATCAATTGGATACCTGTTTTCCCAAGAATAAAAGATACTCCTGTTCAGAAGCTGATGCCCAAATCCTTTCAGCCCTCCATCTTCCACAACACTCACTATTAATTACTACTTGTCAATGGTTGTTAAAGAACTGCCGACATCCACTTTCTGCATCTCCGAATAAAATATATACGCAGTGGGCACACTTCCTGAGACTCCTCAGGGAGACTCTGTACATCAAGCACACTTCATTATCTAAATGTGACAACATGAAAATAATTTCTTTTTGCATTTGTAAAATTCAAGAGTGCTCATAACTTTCAGGGAAATCGGTCTTTGTTCTTGGAATATTACAAGTGCATGCATAAATTGCCTGCTCCAATGAATATAGAAATAGAACTAAGAGTGTGCACATATAGCATCTTGAAAAATGATTTCATATTACTTGTTATTCTGCTTCCAAAGCATTATACAAAATTGATTGAAGAGATAACTGGAATATCATCCACCACAGCTCAGCACTTCATCTCCCTTATGACTTATTTCTAAAATGCTGTTTTTAAGACGCAAGGCTCAATTCATTTTTTGGAAGGCACACTGATAGATATTTGCTCAGCTCTTGTTCTTTAAAAGAATCTCAGTCACTTTGAACATGGAATCTTAAAAATACTTTATTTTCCTCACTTCTTATCTACTCGAAACCAGCATTGATCATAAATTGCTAAAATAATTCATCCAAATTAAAGTTAAAAGGTTAAATGTATACATTTTTAGTCAAGTCAGAAATTGAGCTTTAAAATCCATAATAACTGGAGAAAATGTTAATAATATTGGGGAAAGAAAGCAATAGAACATGCTACCTATGGGTTGCACTTTTTAATTTTTCTGAATACTTATTAAAACTTCAAAATAATCCCATCTATCCTTTTGAAATTCTGCAGATTCTTACAGGGTGATTTTTCATGTCTGGACTCTCTTGACATTGATAAAGGAAGAATATTTATTTTCTATGTATTTTTTTAACTCATTATGATGGAAAGTAAAATATTTCAGATAATAAAAAAATTATCTAATTTTTCTTTGTTTTTTTCTTTCCTTTTACCCCTGCCTAATTCCAAACAACCATGTGGATCATTTTGGATAGGTATTAAACAATTATTTTAAACATAGAATCAATAAGTCTTTAATATGAATTTTTCCATTTTTAAATAATAATAAAATACCTCCAATACATGCTCAAACCCCTCTATTATTTGGTTATCAGATAACCAGGCCACCGGGGAAAACATATACTGGTGATTTTTAAAATATGCCTAATATAAATTTTAAAATTGAGCTAATTAATTAATTAACAAGTTAACTAGTAAAAAGGCAGCAACCACTAGTAATGGTTACAAGAAAAAAGTTAATACAAAGGCAATCACTAGAAGAAATATAGAGATCAAATAAATAAAATGAAGGGATTTAGACTATTAAGGTCCTAATGCATGCAAGCGACTGGAAAGATTCAAAATAATGTTATCAGTATATTTTTTTTAATGAGGAAAACCATATCATACAAACTGATCACTGAAGTCTAACTCTTTCTACCTCTCATTAACTACCACTATGCCCCCTGCTGTTTGCTTTGTTAATCTATGACATTATATGGCCAAAGGCCTCTATAATTCATGCCCTAGCTATTCAGCTGTCCTTTAAATCCATTCCACAGAGTGGAATGGAATTGTTTTCTCCATATGGCCTCCATTTCCTCTTAACAAGCATCCAACAGTGTTTTGATTTGCTGCAATAATAAAATATTTCTTCTCCCTTTCCCTTCCATTAAACTAAGCATTTCTATTCATATTTCCCTACGTTGGTTGGTAACATTCCTCTAATTTCAAAGCTTTCTTAAAAGTTTTTTTCTTATCACTTGGTAGGACTCATGTTCTTACATCCCAGTTTCCTTCAATTTCAAATACAGTATCTTCATTCTCAAGAAAGGAGCCAATGCTTGGAAATTTGATAGCAATAATAATAACCCAAAGCCTCAACAGGTAATAACCATTGAGCATACATCATGGACCAGGCACTCTGATTAGAGCTTTAAGTGTATTAATTCATGGGCCGGCCCCGTGGCTTAGCGGTTAAGTGTGCGCGCTCCACTGCTGGTGGCCCGGGTTCGGATCCCGGGCGTGCACCGACACACTGCTTCTCCGGCCATGCTGAGGCCGCGTCCCACATACAGCAACTAGAAGGATGTGCAACTATGACATACAACTATCTACTGGGGCTTTGGGGAAAAAATAAATAAATAAAATTAAAAAAAAAAAGTGTATTAATTCATTTAATCTTCTCAACTACCCCAGGAGATAGGTACTATCATCATCACCTTTATACAGGTAGGAAACTGAGGCACAGAGAAGTGATCTGTTGAGCCCAACTCACAGAACTAGTAACTACAAGAGCCAGGAGTCCAATCCAGTCAGGCAGTCCAGCTCTAGAGTCTGTGTTCTAATCCCCTCACAATAATGGCCAACCTATACAGGTACAGTGTAGTCAAATTACACCTGTGGACAAGTAGAAGAAGATAACAGAAACTGGAATAGGTCATGGAAGCAAGTGCTAGAGTTCGGTCAATTTATCTGCTTCTATGGGATACTGTACAGGAAAATAGCATCTTCCAATGGTCTATTCTTGGTATTTGACACTTTACTATCTCTACCAAGTCTCTGAAACATAAAACCGGGGGCCAAAATTCACATTTACTTGAATTTTTATTGCACCTAATTCCTCACAATATTTAAAGCCTAAGTCACAATGAATGGTATCCCATCAGCTGAACTGTCTTAAGTCCTCAATCATCAATGGTTCAGTTGAATGAAAAAATGATTATAAGCGGAGCTGAAATAACAGAGAAGCTTACCTACTCCTGCATGTATGAGGCAGGGCAATCATTTTCCATGAAATAGACCTGAAATTATTTCTTTAATTTAAAATTCATTACTTTTCTTTTTTGTGTATTAATTTAGTGTTTGAGGTATAAGTAGATCAAATATACTCCAAATTATTTGACTCCCTTTTATTTTTATGTATCTATGTCTGACCATATCCACTAATTCTCATGAAATATTTACTTGTAATATACTATCATTCTGAATATTTCTACCTCTTCCAGTCTAAACTGCCTTCAATAGAACACTTGACTTTGAGAAATATTCATTATATTTCACTCTTCCTATTACCATAAACTTTTAAAAACAGGTAGGATAGGTATTAATCTACTTATTCAAATTTCCTTCCCAAATTCAGTGTGAATGGCTGAGAGAAAGCTAGCAGGAATCCTTAGAATAACTTTTTCATGTAACATCTGTTGATTCATTATCAAAAATGGGTTTGAAACAGAACACATGAAACATGCTATGTGGAAGGGCACTTGAACAGCACCATCAGCCAATAAATTCCATATTTTAGAGTCACCACTGCCCTTGAAAAATAGTCCATGACTATTGGTTATATAAAGACTTGAATTTGAAATAATTAAGCATCTTTATAGAACACAGGCTTTATGTCTCTGAGTTGGGAAGTGTATTAGTATGTTGGTAGTATCCACATGGATATAATCTTGTTTTAATCATATTTTGGAAACTTTTGTTTCTCGGGTATTTAATTTTAAATATAACGGGCCGGCCCCGTGGCTTAGCGGTTGAGTGTGCGCGCTCCGCTACTGGCGGCCCGGGTTCGGATCCCGGGCCATGCACCGACGCACCGCTTGTCCGGCCATGCTGGGGCCGCGTCCCACATACAGCAACTAGAAGGATGTGCAACTATGACATACAACTATCTACTGGGGCTTTGGGGGAAAAAATAAATAAATAAATAAAATTTAAATATAACAGAAAATTGCTGGTAATGATTTTAGTTTCACCTTGGTATTGCTCGTAGGTCAACATTATATCAATTAGGTCACTTAAAATTGTGACAATGAGGGCTCTCAGTTTGCAAACTAAAACAGTGCCTTCAGCCTACCAAATTAAAATCTGAATTGACTTGACTCCTCCACTGTTGATGAACAAAAAAACTGGTATTTATAGATGTAGGAATAAACAGAGCAATGTATTTTACATTTGAGGTGCCTTTTTGCTCACATCCTGTGAGTTATAACAATTCCTCGCTTAGCAGATAGACAGATGTCATAATCATGTGTAGTAGCACTATACACCCTTTCTTGATTCTATCTATAATGTCACAAAAGTATATTGTGGACGTACTTCAGTTTCCCTAACTTCAAACTGAGGGGCACTTTGGTTGGCTACCTTATTAAGATGGGGGAAGAATTAATATTATGAAGTTCATAAATCCTCTAAAGATTTTTTTTACATAGCATATTTTAAAAATCTACCATTAGCAGCTCTATTTTAGACAAAATTAATGAGTCATTAAAAGTTAAGAGCCAAGCATTATGTTTGTTCATAAAGCACTATCTGGGTATTAAAAAAAAATCATCCAAATGTCTATGGAAAACCTGTAGAACACGTTTCCTAAATCATGCCTCTCATGGAAAGAAGTTTAAGAAAATTATACACAAAATTTCCTACATTTTTCTTTGAAATTTCCACAAGCATTCCAAAATTTATTCACAGTGCCAGATGCTGTTACCACACTCCACACAGTTTCTTTATATACAGTAGCATCCGATTTGGCAATGTGCCCAAAAAATGTTTAATAAACGCATTTGGATATTTATTTGGATTAAAAAAAAACAGAAACAAAAGGATAAATAAGGCCCTGTAAAATGGAAATCTCTAGTTGTCTTTAGCAAATGTGCAGGTTTTTAGGTTCTCTTCATTTCCCATCTAAATGTCAGTAAGGTAAGGCTGATGGAAAGACTCTCTAAAATAGACTTCCAAAGAATTCCAGAGGCAGTAGAGTACAATCTAATACATCTCTGCTGTTTTACTCCTTATACTGTAGGATACAGTCATGAACAGGCATGGAGGCAAAGAGGTTAATCTTAATCTCTTTGTGGTAGGAAGCCCAACCTATAAAATACCATTGGACATTCATTATATTCTCAGATAGCTACTTTCTAATACTATAAAATTGCATAATACTTAATTATGCAATTAATTTAAGTATTAATTTAAAAAATATTTAGAACCTATTGTTTTGATGAGTTTGGTCCACAAATAAAATTAAGAGTCTACCCACCTCAAAAAAGAATAAATATGGAAAATCAGTAGTATTTTCTACTTATCTGCCATATGCTGTTAATAATAAAACATTCCCTTTGGACACTAATCCAAATGGGACAATTTAAGAACAAGTTGCTTTATTATATTGACTATAATTATTTCTACACCACTGTAGTTCAGACAGTTTCTTAATCTTCTGGGGACTTTTGAACTTTTTCAATAACTTGCATGTATCATCGATCTAAAATATTTCCCAGAATATTTTATAGTTTTTAAAAAAGTGCAGCAGGTCAGTATGACCTGAATTATTCAGGCCTGTGACTGAAGCCCAGAACCATCTATTAATATCAATGTAAACAGATCAAGGAGCCCTGAAGGGCACAACACTTTGTCCTATATCAGTGTTTCTAACTCATCCTCAAATAGTACAGCATTTACTGAATTGTCACAGTGTATTGGTTAAAGTACAGTGTGTAAAGGAGATATACAGATTTATTGTGGACTGAATTCAGCTTGTCCCATTAATAACTAATATAAAATGAGGCAAAATATTACCAGATTACTCTTAGCCTGAAAAAGGCACAAACTTCTAGGGCATTTATTAAAAGTTACCTAGTTTAATACTAGATTGGATAGCTTAATGTAAGGAACTAGGAATCAGAAGACAAGTTTTTACATCTGTATTCAAGACAGTGTTAAATGTTTTTCCATCTTGTCTAAGTAAAGCCACAATATGAGGTGATAAAGATAAACTGGGATGTTGGGACAACCCGGTTCACATGTCATTGCAAGGATAAAATGATTGGTGAATGTGGAAAGAGTTTCGAAACCTTAAAATATTACAAAAATGTTATTAATATTCCCTACAGGATTTTAGGCTTCTCAGACCAGGGATCATACTTGTCTAATCTCTTAGCCCATACCATACCTATCATAACTGTAGGTCTTAATAAAAGTCTATTACTTTTTAAAATGTGACATAATAACATGGAGTGCTTCTCTCTTTTCTTTTAGTCCTGGGGATAAAAAGATTTGTGAGCTGTGTGTTTTATAGCTGGCATTGCCTGTATTTTATATTTAGATTTTTCTTAATCCTTCTCTAGTACATAGACCTAGTATTTAAACATATTAGGACTTGAACATTCTGAGAGTTATGTAGGAAAAGTAAAATAGGTGGAAAATCAGATACACTTAAGGAAAACTGAGAACTAATTTTTTCTTATGTTACAAGATTCATGATTCTTTTAATGAATGCTCAATTTAATCAATCTATCAAGAAATATTTACAACAGGCTTGCTATGCACCCACTGCTGTTCTATATAGCATCTCCAGGGTATACAAGAATATTCTCAAGGATTTTAAGGTATAATTGTTAAGACTTTTGTAATACAAATAGTTCAAGTACAGGGTGATTCCAAAAGAAGTGAATACTTTTGGAAATGCATTAATCAGTAACTGTGACGTATAGGAGCATGTAGACAAGGTCACTTTGTAAAGGTGGGTTTGCACACTTATTCTGCAAAGTGCCAGAGAGTAAATACTTTAGGCTTTGCAGGCCAGTCTCTGCTGCAATACTCAATGCCGTTGTAGTACAAAGCAGCCGTACGCAATACATAAGTGAATATGCGTAACTGTGTTCCAATAAAACTTTATTTACAAAAACAGCAGGCAGGATAGATTTGGAGCATGGGCCATAATTTAACAACTCCCATTGTAAAGAAGTTCTCTTTATAATTTAATAAATGTTCAATATGCACCTTTCATGTCACTAGGGCATGCATCAATCACCCTTGACCTTTTTGTAATATGTCACCTCTGACAACTGAAATGGCAGCCACGAGAAGATTCTTCATTTTTTTAAGGTTGAAAAAAATGAAGGTGCAGTACAGACATGAGGTTCCAGAGGTATTCTCTCTGGAAGAAGACGCAAAGTGAGACATCTGGGGATCTGGGTGGCCAAGGTGCAGTTCTTTTTGAATCACCCTGGATAATACAAATCAGTAATTAATTAAACATAGAATTGATTAGGAGTGTTACAAAGGAGTTCCCAATTTAACTGTAACTTGAACCTCACATATAGAGTACAACCATTTATTTGACTTTCTGTAGAGCTCTGACTTCTTCAGACTCAGAAGCCAGACAGGGCAGGAACAGAGAAGAAAAGTAGTGAGTGTTGTATGAGAGAAAGAACTATGAACACACACATACACACATGCATACTTGTGTGTGTGTATGTGTATATATGTGTGTGTATATATATGTGTGTGTATATATATATTTGGAAGGATTGATTTGATTATGGTGGAAGGAGGACAAAAAGTATATGCATACGTTAGATTAGACACCGTTCCAATTGTCTCTCTTGACTTAAATGGATTTGAAATTTTTTTTGTGCCCTGTATTACTTAATCTAATGATTTGAAGTAGCTCACTACTTGCCAGCACTTTAACATACCACACAGATGATATACTAACACACTTACAGGGTTAATGCTAGCTGGAATCATTTCTATTCTTACTCTCCTAGAACCTACATCCTTTGTCAGTCAGCTCATGCTAAGATGTCTGGCCAAGAGTCAATATGATTTTGGGGAAAGGTTGTAACAGCATTACACTGGAGCTCTACATGGCTCCTCAATTGCTAAGAACCATTGAATATTCATATTACACATTTTTTATTCAATGAGAATGTAATCCAATGAGGATTCTGGATAGTTGGTTGGCATTTCCATAAGATACAACAGACACTGTTAATTTTGAAGGTTGTTTATAGTAATTTGAATATCTAGAATCTCACTAGGAATCTTACTAAAATATTAGTAAAATATTTTTTAGATAATTAGGTATCATAAATAAAAATTCTTCTTCCTATCAAATCTCTATGCTAGCATTTGACTAAAGATGCTAGCATCTTTAATAAAGAACACTAAGATAAGCTAATCAACCTGTTTTAGATTAATTCATTCAGTATGTAATAAACCCACCCATCCATCAGATAAACAAGTATTGATTGAGCACGTATGTGTACGACATACGCTAGGCCTGGGGCTGCACGATGAAGATGAAACCGTCCCTGCCTAAGCTTAGACTCAAGGGCCAAATACAGACAAGCAAGCAGATCTGTCCAAGGGAGTAGGTTAGGAATATGCAGGGAATTTAGCAGAAGAGGTAAGATTTGTACTCACGTAATATTACTGCATATTAGATATATGGCCCATAATAGCTAACAAATGCCATCAGAATTTAAAGGTAAGGATGCTCTTTAACAAGACAGAGGGATGTGATCAAGGACAACTTCATGAAAGAGGTGACCTTGAACCCTGAATGAAAAGTATAATTTAGGAAAATGAGACATAGAATAGCATGAGTTGACACACAGAAGTGCTGACATCTCAGGTCTCAGAAATTCACGTCTCAGGTAGGCTAAGCACAGGGGGTCCCTGACTTATGATGATTTGACTTAGGATACTTTGACTTTATGATGGTGCGAAAGTGATATGCATTCAGTAGAAACTGTACTTTGAATTTTGATCTTTTCCCGGCCTAGCAATAGGCTGTATGATCCTCTCTCGTGATGCCAGGCAGCGCAGCGAGCCACAGCTCCCAGCCAGCCATGCAATCACGAGGGTAAACAACCCATACACATAAAACCATTCTGTACCCCTCCAACCATTCTATTTTTCACTTTCAGTACAGTATTCAATAAACTACATGAGATATTCAACACCTTATTATAAAATAGGCTTTGTGTCAGATGATTTTGCCCTACTGTAGGCTAATGTAAGTGCTCTGATCATGTTTAAGATTGGCTGGGCTAAGCTATGATGTTCAGTAGGTTAGGTGTATTACGTGCATTTTCGACTTACCAATATTTTCAACTTATGAAGTGTTTATCAGGACATAACCCCATCGTAAATTGAGGAAGATCTGCAATCCTGTTTTTACCAGATTGCTTAAACAAAGGAAACTTGAGAGATAAGGCTGAACAGGTATAGTTGTGCCATATTGGGGAGGGCACTAGAAGCTAAGCTGAATCTATTTTGGGATTTCTAAAATTTCTGCCAACAGTCATAATTCATTGTGATATTTTAATGCAGTAAAAAAAAAAAATTTGTACTTAAAAGTATTGTACCACCATAACTCATCATCCGGTCCCCTAAACTAATTACCCACATGCTCTCCGCAATATGCTTCATTATATATAACATACCTATTTACACTAGAATCTAGAAAAGTAGATATTCAGACTTAACTCTTAGCTTTAACTTTGGTGCCTTCCTTTCCCTTGTTCCTGATATCTTGTAGATACTGCTGGAAAACATTCATAAATGTCACATGCAGGTGAGTATTGCTACCCAGGAGGCAATATTTTACACTGTAATATGAATATGTCTTGTCTTATCTCTTAAGTGATATTGTTATGATGGTCATCAGTTATCTTGCTAATGCAGGGGATGAGGAACACTTCTGATACCTGAACAGAAAGTTACTTAGCCAATGCAAAAAATAGAATGTGTGATCACCACTGTCTTTCTTTCTTCAAATCACTGGTGGTTTTAATCAGACATTTGAGGTGGGTTTAGAGTCACAGGATGTTAGAACTGGAAGGGGCCTGGGGCTGGCCCCGTGGCTTAGCAGTTAAGTGAGCGCGCTCCGCTGCTGGCGGCCCGGGTTCGGATCCCGGGCGCACACCAATGCACCGCTTGTCCCACCATGCTGAGGCCGCATCCCACATACAGCAACTAGAAGGATGTGCAACTATGACATACAACTATCTACTGGGGCTTTGGGGGAAAAAATAGGAGGAGGATTGGCAATAGATGTTAGCTCAGAGTCGGTCTTCCTCAGCAAAAAGAGGAGGATTAGCATGGATGTTAGCTCAGGGCTGATCTTCCTCACCAAAAAAAAAAAAAAAAAAAAAAAACTGGAAGGGGCCTTAGTCTGACCCGTCTTATTTTAGTGGAACAAAAAGAGGTCCAGAAAGGCGAAGTGACTTGCCTTAGGAAACACAGCTAACGTTTTCTAGTCAGGACTAGAACTCACATCCCCTAGATTCTAGTGTTTTTTCCACATCAAAAGTTAATGTCTTACCAAATCTCATTTGCTTTAAATTAACTTAAAAAATAGAGTGTCAGTAAATTCTCATGGTATCCTATGCAGCAAGGTTTCTCAAACTCAGCACTACTCACATTTGGACCAGATAATTCTTTGTTGTGGGAGGCTTCCTGTGCACTGTAGTAAGATTACAAGCATCCCTGATCTCTACCCACTAGATGCCAGTATCACCACCTCCACCCTCCTGGTTGTGACAACCAAAAATGTCTCCAGACATTGCCAAAGGTTCCCTGGGGGTCAAAATTATCCCTGGTTGAGACACCCTACTCCCAACACCATCTCCTCCATCCCACATATACTTCTAGAATAATTCCTTCAGAGCCAGCCTGACCTAACCTAGGGGCTCTTTCCAAGAATCTCATACCTTTAACCTGACAGCACAGGACTTTCCCCAGGTGTTCTAGTTTCCCCTGCAGGTGTTAACTCCATCGTTGGAATCTAGTTATTCCAGGGTAGCCACGGTCACAAGTCCTCTTCCTATCTACTCCTTCAGTTTTTCAGCATTCATTTGAGTGCCTGTTAAACGCTAGATGCTCGGCACTGGGAATGCAGAGATGAATCTCTGATCTCCAGTAGTTCAGTCTCCTGGGGGAGACAAATATGTAAATAAACATCTGTCAGCCTTATGATGAGTGTTAGGAGAGAAGTATGTGTAGGGTGCTACAGAATTAGGGAAAACACTTCATTCACACTAAGGGTGGTCATAGGGTGATATGTCACAGAAAGTAGCTGGAAGAAAGTGCCAGCTAAGCCAAGTCTTCAAGGACAATTCTGAATGAGCTAGGCAGAGAATGGAAAAGGCTTGCCAGCCAGAGAGAGCAATGTATCCAAAAGCAACTAGGGAGAAAACTCGGCTTCTGGCTGTAGCATCAACATAGGGTGTGAAATGAAACTGGAGAGTAAGCAGGGGCCGGGTCTTGAGGGGCCAATTATACCATGCCAAGGAGTTTGGAATCGATCTTGAAGGTAAGTAGAAGAAACTTGCATTTTAGAAAGATCTAAAGTACAGAAAATTACAAAGATGGCAGATTCGAAGTAGGAGCACAGGCCACCTCAAGATAAACATCTGATGTACCGTCTAATAAAAGAACAATCATCCAGATTTTGCTCTCACTTCCTTACACCACCAGGGGAGGGATTCTCCTCCTAAGAACATTGCCACAGATTGGCAAGAAGAGGAAAGGCCCACGATTGTACAGAGGTACAGCCTCTTCCTCCATCCAGGACCGTGGGCAGAGGAAACCTTTTTACCACCAAGGCAAGAAGGACTTTTTTTTCTGGAATCTAAGACTTCACAGAGAGGTTGAGTTTCCTGTGGAAATTCAAAATATATTTTTCCCAGAAAGAAAAATGATAAATTTTGATATTTTTAACTATACGGTTCAGCCAATTTATGGGTCAAAGGTGTTTTGCATACGTGTGTGTGAGTGTGTATGTGCACTGGCTGTTGAACACATCATTGTTCCTATGGGAATATGAATTACAGATTGACTTTCAGAACATAATCCATTTGCCAGCTGGGAACTGTGCATGCCTATGCAGAGAATGTACAAGCACAAACGACAGAAGCAAAATGCACCAGACAAGTGATTAGAACTCTTCCATAAAGAAGGGAGTCTGGGGCAATTTAAGAGCAATGCTGCTGACCACATAAAATGCAAATTGAAGTAAGCTCTAGGTGGCTGGCTGTGCAGGCCCTGCCTGGGCTCAGCGAGTCTATGTGCAGCTCCAGAAGCTATCCCAGGGCCTGGCCTGTATCAGGTGCTCCACCAAGGTCTGGAAAAGTAGATGAGATGCACTGAAATGGAGCTCCACGCCCTCATGCCTCCTGGTTAAATGAGACAGAAAAACAATGCTGGTTCAATGAGGCACTGAGATCCTGTGTGTGAGAGAGAGAGGAAGGGACAGCACGGATTCTCCTAGAAGGACAGTGAAAGAAAGTGAGCTACTAAGTCTCTGTACCTATGCTCATGGGACGGAAACCCCTTCCTCTTAGGGGCAGAAACTAATATGAACATGAGGTGACCTTGACAAATTCTCAATAATGTCAGCAGACGGGATCAACTTAAGTAAATTAATGTTAGTTCCATGACCTGCTGCATATTTGTTTTAAGAGCTGATTTGTAGCTGAAACATGGTGGCCTTCTTCCCTCTGATTCATCCATTACTCAGAAGGCCCTGGCTTCCTAGAATTCTTAATAAAATTCCAATAGTTTTCATAAGCAGTCATCAAATCTAGCCAAATCTTTCAAAATGCCTTTTTCTGCTTTTCACAACTGACCTGACCTATCTCTAGCCTCTCCCAGTTTCAACCCCCTTAATCGCTGAGGGCAAATTTACCTTCTTAAAACAATGCTTTGATTAAGTTACACCCCTTTTTAAAATCCTTTCACCACCTCCCAAGGATCTGCGGAATAAAGTCCAAACCTCTAGCCTGCCTTTTAAAGCCCTGTAGAGTCCTCACCTCTAAATTCCACCCACCCTCACCACTTCTGTATACAAGGCAACGTGGTATCCTTAAGTGTCCCCTGACTAGGCTCTCCTCAGTCTTCCACTGTGCTTGGTTCACGCCTCAGCAGCCTGAAATCCTCAGTTCTTCCCTCTCTACCTGAAAAGCACATTTTGAGTCTGGTCTACTCAGTGAAGTAGAAATCTGAGCTCATTTCAGCCCATGCCCCCTCACTCCTTTCCATTTCTTGCATGGAATTATTCTGTGCATCTCCAGCTTCCTCGTGAAGGGGGTGACCAGGGTGCTGTCCATCCCTAAGCCATGAGCAATGCATGACAAATGGATGACCCAAAGCCCTAGAGACATTCCTGGCACATCCTAGGAGCTCAACAGATGTCTGTTAACTTTGTTGAATAATTCCAGATATTTGACTTTGTTAATTTAAGATTACCACTCACTTGCTCCCTTAGGCCAGGGATTTTCCTCTCCTTAGGTGAGAAAAAGCATCTAAATATTTTAACTTTGATAAAGTTAGCTTTGACACATAAAAAGCAGAACTTCCTCTCTAACATTTCAAGAAATAAGAACTCCTCCTCCCCCCAGTATTGAATTTCAGGTTCCTTGAAAATAATCGACCTGGATCCTATCTTACTAAATCAAACTTTGCATCTTCTCTGCAGTGCAAAGGTAATCTTACCTCTGGCCAGCCAAATCACCAACAAATTCTCCATGCCAAAAAAATGTTTTTGAAAATGGAGGTGTGAGGGTAAACGTCTATAGGCAGGAACAGTACAACAGGTGCTGCCCTGCAAACAGGAAACACCCAAACAGACCTTCTGAGCGAGCCAAATGCCTTTTCGCTAACCTAATGTTCTTTAGCTTTAGTTGCTTCAAGGGCTTTTCGATAACAAAAATGCCCCTTCCTGTTGGCCTTGCCGTTTTTCGCCCATCACTTACTACCGAGTGCGAGTCTGACTTCTTTATCTGGGCGCAATCTTTGCCACACCCAGTCATCTCGCTCAGCGACCCGCGCGACCACGTTTCCTTAAATCTGAGCCCCGTGGACTCTGCTCCGGAACTACATTACCCAGCACCCCCCGCGCCCTTCGCAGGAAGGACGTCTGCGCACTAAGATACTCAGTTCCAAGTTTGGAGCTTTTAGCTGCCAGCCCTGGCCCATCATGTAGCTGCAGCACAGCCTTCCCTAACGTTGCAACTGGGGGAAAAATCACTTTCCAGTCTGTTTTGCAAGGTGTGCATTTCCATCTTGATTCCCTGAAAGTCCATCTGCTGCATCGGTCAAGCGAAACTCCACTTGCATGAAGATTGCACGCCTGCAGCTTGCATCTTTGTTGCAAAACTAGCTACAGAAGAGAAGCAAGGCAAAGTCTTTTGTGCTCCCCTCCCCCATCAAAGGAAAGGGGAAAATGTCTCAGTCGAAAGGTAAGAGTCTATTTGCATTACTTGCAAAAATGCAAAGTGTTGTGCATGCATTTATGAATGCATGGATGCAATTTTCGCCTGGCGATTGCATTTTTAAGTTTGAGGTTTTCCACAGCTCAGTTGCATTTCCTGTTTAGTATGTGTCTTTTTTTGCAGACACAGAGAGTTCCTGTAAGGCAGGGCTTGCAGTTCAGCTGTGCATTGACGTTATTTGCATTCTTCTGCTAGGATTACTGAGCTCTTTTTGCCTTTTGCACAGTCAGGAGAGATAGAGCAGGTTGGTAGCGTCTAAAAGTGCAATGCTTTATATAATTGTAAAATTCTTTAGTATGCACACATATTACAAGTAATTTTATGTGCAACAGGAATACAAACTTTTAAAAAGTCTGTAGGTGAAGATGAAAGGTAAAACTTGAGTTAAACTAGTAGGAAATGAATGTAATCTTATATTCCTTTGGGAATGAACCGTTGCGGTACCAGTATTTAGCTAAATTTCCATTGATATCGCTTTGAACATTAAGTAACTTTTGATTTTTAAAGGAAGTAAAGGTGAAGTGTGAATAATACCACATTACAAAAACGTAGACAAGAAGACTTTCTCTTCCGAGATTTTGCACTTTACACCAATTGCTTATTGGTTCGCAGTATTCAGAAGCAGCAATGAGGACATAGATGTTTTATGTCTTCCCATTTGGGAGATGCTTTGCATCTTAGGGGAAAATGTTGGGGGAAAAACTGTACTTTTAAGCATTACACCAACGTGGGGAGACTGTAGTGTTTCACTGACAACCATAATGAAATCTTTTAAGTGTGTAATTGCATATATTTAGTCAGCTATAATAGGTCAGAAGTTCAGGGTTATGGTTGTTTCCTTTATGTTTTTTTCTTTTTCTTAAAAAAAATTTTTTTTACACAGTTGTATTTTGCAGACAATGTCATGCTGGGGGGAATTAAAAAAATAAAATTTATGACATGGCATCAAGAGAACTGAGGGGGTGTTGTCAGGTGTCTCTAGGACCCTAAGTCTCTTGTTTCAGAACGAGTCTTTCTTTACCATAGAGAAAGCATGTGCCATCTGAGAATGTATGGAATGAAGAGGTGAGTTAGGCACTAGGTGAGTTAGGCTACCTGAGGCACAACATAGGTGAGTAAGACCTGGTGAAATGAAAGTGTCTCATAAGCTTTCTGCCACTTTTTTTGGAGTTGTTGCAATTCTGCCTGATGGGAATCATGCATCTCAGCCCAAGAAGGAAGTGATATATATTCTTAAGAGTTCAAAGTAGGGCTCTGCTTTTCTTTTAGTCTTAGTGCGGAATGGACATCTGAAAAGCTAAGAAAGCTGAAGAACCTATGAATTGGCATTATGAGGTGCAGGTGTTCCTTAATAGAGGGGAAACCTACAATCTTCTAATTGAGCAGAGAAATAACAGTTTAGAAGGGGCATACCATGCTTTGATGTATTAAAGAGATGACATCTAGTTACTTTGTATTTGGTATATATTCACTCATTCATTCAGTTCGGTTTAATATATGTATAAATATATTATGATATATATGTGTATGTGTGTATGTATGTGTACGTATACATGTAGAGAGATATAGTGCACAGGATTTGGGGGCATACAAAAATATTTAAAATGTAGTTGCTTCCTTTAAGTAACTTACCATGTGATTGGTGAAAGAAAGCATATCTGCAAATCATTATACTACAAGATAATTGCCTAGATAGTGAAGAGAAATGGCACTGTTGGAGTTTAGAGATGGAAGTGATCTCTCTGAGAGATAGTCAGGAAGGTTTCATGAAGAAGGTGATGTTATAGTGATCTTATCTTTGGACCGTAGTGTCTAAACTAAATCAGGTTCCTTTTTGCATTTTTTGAGCTCACTCCTAAAGTAGCCCCCTCCTAGTAGAGCAAGTTTTTGAGTTGGGAAGCTAAAAGAGATGTTAGCATGACACTCTTCCATTATGGGTGTGCCCATAATAGATCAGGTACTGATGGTTCTTGAAATCAATTCCCATTCATCCAAAAAGTTTTCTTAATTGGGTTGTGTTTGGAAGGTGCAACTAGTGTGAACATGGGGTTTCTGTCCAAAAGAAAAATTATTGGTAGAAAGAAGTGGGTGATCATTTCAGAAATGGCAAAGGAGACTTGGCCTGGACTTTAAATGTGGAATTGGCCTAATTCAGCTATGGTATTCTCAAATGGCCAAGACATTTCTTGCAGTACCAGACTTCTTTGTAATACTATAACCAAATGAAATGGGGGGAAAAGTGAAAGGTGGATGCAACCTCATAGTGTTGAAGATTTTAACAACATGTTCAATTCAAGGACCTTTACGAACTTTCTAGATCACTATAATTCGGTTTTGGAGACCTCTAATTTAAGGCACAGCAGAGGCAAAAGAATTACAGACTCCCTTGGAGCTGGAAGGACTGGGTTACTTCTTTCCAGCCTTACCGACAGTGAGATTCCGAGAAAGAATTTCTTAAAAAGAAATTTTGTTTTCCACAGTTGTAACTTTAGGTGGTATGCCTTTCAGTTTGTTTATATTAGCTGTCTGGGGTTGAGCTGACATTTTTCAAATATTAAAGTGGCAGAATGCCTTTTGAGGAAATCTGAAATGTAAGTTAACAGGAAGGGCACCCAGAAAGTGCAGGAATTCCTGCACTTTACAGGAAGACAGGCTACAGGAAAAATGTGTCATCTACATTGCCCCGGAGAGAAAAACTATTGTTATCAGCCATAATGATCTGAGGGAGGGAGGGAAGGAGGGAGGCAGGAAGGGAGGCCTGGCATCTCCCGGTTCACCTGAAAATCTACAAAAAGTTTGACCCTGTTAAATGCACTCTTTCTCACTTCTCCCTCTCTTCACCTTTTAAAAATATGAGTTTTTCTTAGTTTTAAGGTAGTAATAGGTAAATCATGTCGTGAGAAATGTGTATAAGGCATAATTCAGCAGCATGTGAGAGAGTGGTAGGCAAGGACTTAACCCTACTGTGGTTCTTTGCTTCTGTAATTCATTCCACCCTGGGAAATGTAAATTTCTCATTCTGTGTAAATTCCTTTGTTAGGTTGTACCAGCCAGACTTGTCATGCTTAGCCTGTAATCTGAGCCAGTCTGTTTTATAACCTCGTACATCTCAGGACACAAAATCAGAATAGACACGTTGGGTTTCCTGAGCTTGTTTCGTGTTGGCGCGCTGCGAGTCAGCTGCAGGGGTGTTCAGGGGGTCTCCTGGTGGTCAGTTTAATGCTGGAGAAAAGGAGTGAGATTCTCATCCGTTTGTTTTTCACAGCTTAGTATTACTGTAACTACTTTCCAGTATTTTAAAATCTGAAAGATCTATAGGGAATATTTTTAAAACTTAAAAGAAAAAAGTACATAATACTTGTTCATTGTAGAAACATTTGAAAATATACAAAGAAAATAAGAATCACTAGTTACCACAGTATACATTTTGGCATATATCCTTTTGGACTTTTTTTCTATTTTATATATATGTATATGAATAAATTGAAAATATGTATAAAACTAAGGTCTATTTACTTACTTTTTGTTTCACTTACAATATACTGTGAAGTATTACCAGTTAATATGTTTCTACATTCATAGTATCCAATTGTATTGTATTTATTTAAATAGAACCTTAATATTTATTAACTTTCAATATTATGAATATTGCCATGATGATCATCCCCTTCTACGTTATTGTGTATACCACGGCCTTAGAGTAACTTCCAGGATGCAAAACTACAGGTTATGGATAGCCAATTCTTCCCAATCCCCTTTCTCTTCTCTGCCTTTTAAAAATAGCTTCTTCATTATTATAAAATGATATATACTCATTGAAAAAAAATTCAAACCAAAGAGAAATTCATAATACGAAAATAAAAGTCTCTCCAAGTCACACCATCCAGAGCTAATTACTGTTAACTTTTTGGTGACTATCTCTTTGCATTTGTCTATATATACATACATACTCATACATGCTGTTTTACACACTATATATGATATTTTGCAACTTGCTTTATACTCTACCATATATCTTGGACATCTTTTCGTATCCACACACATGCAGTCACCTCATTCTTTTTAACAATTGCTTATTTTAATCTGTAAGAATGTAGCTGTTTAATCCATCTCCTGTTGGACTTTCACATAGTTTCCATTTTTTTACAGCTGTAAACAATACTGCAAGGAATACCTTGAACATACATTTTGCATATTTGCCCAATTATCTCTTTAGGATGAATTCCTAGAAGTGGAAGTGCTAGGTTAAAGGGCGTGCATGGATATATGGCCAAATTGCCCTCCAGAGAGCTAACGCTAGTTCTTATTCCCACCAATGACGTTTGGAAGTACCCATTCTCTCCTTTTAAGCATTGTGGTAAATATTGCCAAATAAATTGCCCTCCAGAAATGTTATGTCTACTTACCTTCATCCTGGGTACAATAATTTGAAAAAATTTTTGCCAATTTGATAAAGGGTATTAATACTTGACTCTCATTTGCATTTTTTAGTAATAAAGAAGTTGAATTCTCCCCCCTCCTTTTTTGACATTTGTGTTTCATGTGTTTGAATTTCTTTTCTTCTTCATAAAATGTATCTCTAAAATTTCAATTTGGGGATCAATTTACTTTCAAAGTTAGGCCAGAAAATTCCAGGACTGTAGAGCTTAGGTAATCAGGGGTTGAAAGCTGGGTTCCATGCATCTAAACAATTTAATTCCCTGGTGGATTCTAATTTTAATTTTCACCAAAATGTCTTAAGTAAACAGCACGTATTTTATCAGCTCATTTTGTTGTACTGTCTATAGCTATCCAGACCAGTATGAAAATACTAAGAAAAATGTAATGATCTGATTAAAATTCCAGTCTGGGAAATAACTTACTTCTGGACATTTCTGCATTTTCAGTTATCTCTACAGGCAAAATTAGTTTTTCTTTATTTTTGTAAATAATTCTTATGCAGCGCCTGGTTGTGTTATGTGCATTGT